AACAACCACTTTTCACCATTGTCTGCACCAGGCAAAGCAAAACACTCTTACAGGCCTCTCCTACTGTGAGTAATTTTCCCCCCAAAAAGCAACATTTATAGACTTTCTCTATGACCAATATTGAATTTTCCCACAGCATTTTATCTCAGAGATTTATCACTTCTGGAGCACTGGGGACACAGCTGAGAATGTGACAAAAGCAAAGCACTGCTTTCTGCACTTGATTTCAGGGCTTCAGGGACCCTAGACCGTGTATCCTGGGACCAGCACACAGAAGCCTCAATTTGCAAATGGCTGGAGGCTGTACCCCAGACATACCTGCCAGTCTGTGCAATGGGCCCAGCCCTCAACGAGGAGTTTCTCAGGGTCAGACAGGAACCCTGACCTTGGCCCACAAAAGGGCCATGGAGGAAAGGGGGCCTCACCCAGGATTTGCAGATGACACCCCACGTAACACGTCATACAGTGCACCACAGCGCTGGGCCTGGGCCACGCTCACGACAGCAGTTTCCAGGATGAGTTTCTACAATGAGAGCTACCTTCCCCCCTCTCAGACCCCAGCTCAAACTCCACGTTCACTTGTGGACACCAGGTTTCAAGCACAAATAACAAGAGGCTCAGGTCTGAGCCACGCCCTGGGAGAAACAGTACAGGGATGAGGGCTCCCTGGACCTGGCACCTGTTAGTACTTTACAGGCACTGGCTCCTCTAATCCCCCATTGGCCCATTCTGGCTCATTCATTTAACTGATACTTATTTTGCACTTAGCACTCATGAGCTGTGCACACAGTAAGAACTACAGAGACGAAGGCTTGGTCCCTCGGAGCCCACGTGCTGGCAGAGAGGCTGTATGGGCAAAGCCAGTGGTATTGGGGTCAGGGACTCTGCCACAGGGAAAGTAAGGTTGGGTGAGAAGAAGGGGCCATGTGTTACCACACAGCGGCCAGGTGGCTTCCTGCACAGGGCGATGTTTTAAACACGGTGGAGCCATGCACACCTCCAGGGGCAGCAAGAGTCTCAGGGGCTGTGGTTGGGGTGTGGGGACTATCAAGGAGGCCCATGGGCTGGGTCCAAGGGAGAGGTGAGCCGGGGAAGGGAGGCAGGCCACAAGGGGTGGGGCTGCAGGCACTAGGGAGGATGTGGCATTCAATGCCTCAGGGAGCCACTGGAGGGATATGAGCAAGAGGTGACATTATCCAACTTCCATGGGACCCTGGTCCTGTGGCCACCTGTGTGGAGAATGAACTGGAAATGGGGCAATGGTGGCACAGAGAGACTGCCTGGAGGCCAAGTCCAGGTAGGAGAGCACAGCGAACCACTGCCGGAGAAGAGGGGGTTGGCTGGACCCCAGAACTGCTCCAAGGGGAGCAGAGAAGACTTCAAGGTCATCTGGACATCAGCACAGAGCCAAAAGCTTCGCAGGAGGCTTAGACGTATTGACTGAAATGAGGGAGAGTCCCAGTCCGGGGCACAGATGGGAACCGAAATCTGGAGATGTAAGCTGTGCAATGCGCACCAGCCCCCACATGGATGCACAGAGTCCACAGAGACACCCTAGAGCTCAGGGGCCAGCCATCAGCTGGAGGGACAAACCAGAGATTCATCAGGGTCACAGATGTGTTTAAAGCCACACTTCCAACAGGTGCTCACTGACTCTTAGAACCAGGTTTCGTGGGACGATGGGCACACCATAGGGCACAGACAGATACCAGCATGATCCCCCACACAGACAAAATTAGACAGTCAACAATAAGTAATTGATGGGTAGCAGAGAGAGAATAGAGAATGACAAGAATTAGTGTGAATCTGCAACTGTGTCCCAGCCAGGAAGGAAGGTTCAGTGTTGTCATAGGAGCCAACAATGAGGGACTTTGATCTGACAACAAGGAAATGGAGCAGGGACAGGGGAGGGACCTGCCCAGGGCCAAGTCCAAGTTTCACAGCACATTCTGTTGGAGGCCATGGACTGGCCCAGCCACAGAGATCCCGGGGATGGAGGGGGATTTGTGGGTCAAAGCCCGGAGCCTAGCTTTGGCTCAATGAGAAGAGGAATGAGTTAACCAAGAGGAGTGGAATCAGGGGTTGAAAGGGGGTTCTCTAAAAGATGTGCCCAAGTCCAAATCCCCAGAATCTGTGAAAGTGACCTTATTTGGAAAGTGGATCTTTGCAGAAGTAATTAAGTTAATCTCTAGATGAGGAGATCATCCAGGATTATCCAGACAGGCCCTGCCTGCAGTGACTACTATCCTTATACGAAGGGGAGAGGAAGGAGGGAGGAGGAGGAAGTCACGTGCCCACAGAGGCAGGGCTGGGAGTTTCAGGCCAAGGAACACAGGAACCACCAGAAACTGGAAGAGAATGGCTCCTGCTTGGAGCACTCGCAAGGAGCACAACCCTACCTACACTTTGATTTTGAATTTCTAGCTCCCAGAACTGCAAGAGAGAAAATTTTGTGGTCAGAAGCCACCCAGCAGGTGATAAGGGGTTACGACAGCCACAAGAGGCCAACACAGCTAGCCATGACCAGGCCACCTGGCTGAGCAAGAGGCGTCCCTGTGCACAGCACTCAGAGGAGGAGGGCGCTGGGCAGGAGGGACAGAGGTGGGAACCAAGGGTGCTGCTAGATGTGCTTTGATGCCAGTTCCAGTGCAGAAACTCTGCGTCTCAACCGCGCTGCCAAAAAATGTTTTGAGGGCACATCCGGGCCAGGCCTGAGGCTCCCGAGAGGTGAAACGCAGATTCCCATCCTCTTCCGTGTTTAAATAAAATGACTGCATTATACCTTTAATCCTTTAATGCCAGGCATGAGGACACTGCATCTGGATGGCCTAATGATGCCCTGAAGGAAAGTCAAGCTGCGAGAGCCTTCTGGGCCAGGAGCTCTCCTCTCCTCCCCAGGAGCTCTCCTCCCCAGGAGCTCTCCCCGCCATGTGGATGGTGAGGACAGGAAGAAGTGCTCTCTGAGGTGCACCTGGCTTGAGCCAGGGCCTGTGCCAAGGGCTGATGTGGATTAATCCACTCATCCTCAGAGAGGGTCTAGCACAGAGCAGAAAGTTGGAGCTGGCAGCCTGGGTTCAAGTCTCAGCCTGGCACCAATGAGCTGCATGGCCATGGCCTGTTACATGGCCTCCCCATGCCTCAGTTTACATATCTGTAAAATAAGGATTATGATGTCATTAGCCTCATGGGGCTCCTGTCTTGTCATAACCTTAGACCAGCATCCCAGACACAAGAAGCACCCGGTAAAGGGCCTTGGCTGTTGACATTGTCAATGTCAAGAGGAAGCAGTTCCCATCTCCCTCTCACCAATGAAAGCATTGTGTCCTGGAGTGGACAAGGGCCTTATGGAAGGGCACCCCCAAACCAGGGGCACAGACTATGCCAGTGATTCTCAACTGGGGGTGATTCTGCCCCCAGGGACATCTGGCCAAGTCTGGAGATGTTTTAGTTTGTCTCCACTGGGGGCATCCAGTGTGGAGAGGCCAGGGATGCTGCAGAATATCCTACTGTGTCCAGGACAGCCCCCTGCCAAGCAGAGAATCGCCTGGCCCCATGCCACTAGTGCTGAGGGACCCTGCTCTAGCCCTTGACCATCCCAACACCAGCTCTTCTCCGAAGTGCACCCACATAGCACCCTTCTCCCTTGACCATCCCAACACCAGTTCTTCTCCCAAGTGCACCCACATAGCACCCTTCTGCTGGAGGTTCACAGGTGTTTAAGGGCAAGGATTCCAGGGTCTAATGGGTTTGGGGAACACCACAGGCTCCAGCCTCTTCAGAGACATTGGTGCCCTCAGGCCAGTGACCAGTCCCAAGTTCCTGCCACAAAGACACTAGTCCCACGGTGGAAGTCAGCCTCCTCCAAACACAGGGGTAACAGCACCCTCCAACCCTTTCATGTTTTGCAGCCACATATTCAGAGTTGCTTCCTCGGACCTGGTGGAAAGGCTCCGAAGCAGCAGGAAAGGGGAGGCTATGGAGCCCTAGGCTGCCGGTCTGTCCACCCATCACAGTACCAACCGCATGCTTCAGTACCAGCCAGGGTCAGCACTGACGTCTGCTGCCCTTTCCTGCTCCCCACAGGAAGACATGGCCGGAGTTCTGCCCACGCCCACAACAGTCACCATGAAATGCTTCCAGGAAGAACAGCAATGAACACTCCTGATTCTTCCTTTGCAGGCCAAACACCACGGCCACCCTGGACCCTCCTGGAAGTGACCAGAGGGCCCCGCACAGCTGGTACCAGCTGGGAGGGAAACCCCCTCAGCGCTTCCTCCTCCTAGCCTGAGCCTCCTTCTCCCTTCATTGCAGGGTGGTCTGCAGGCCTCTATCGTCCCGAGCCCCGGAATCCTCAAGGGTAGGATGGAGCAATTACTCTGACCCCGAGAATGCACCGTGAGGACAAACACAGAGCTGGCTTCCCAGGACCCTGTGAGCACCTGCTCCCAAACAAGTATCCGCTGCCTGTCCCATTCACACCACTTCTGAGACGGCCATTTGGGATCAATGGAGCAATCTCTCTCCCTCCCTCTTCCTCCGCTTCCATCTCATCTTGCTTTACTTGTTTTTCTGTTTTTTGTTTTGTTTTGTTTTGCTTTTTGTTTTTTTTTTCGCTATAACTTCTAAACACCGAGCATCTGTACACCACCTGTATACTGTTCGCCACACCATCCTCAGGGGTGGCGCTCTCAAAGTCACTTGCTACACTACTTTCATGTTTTTGGTTTTTTTCCCACGTATACATAAAAACTAATATGCAACTCTCAAAACAACTTTGCTGGGGTATTTTCTAATTCCTTGCTCCAAGCCTGGCTGTGCACCCCCATCCCAGCTTGTTTCAGGAGAGGTTCATTTCCAGAAGACACAACCTCCTCCTGTTTCTCCCCAGGTGCAGCCCCTCGACCTGTTCCTCCCCCAGGCATGAGCTCTGTCCCCGACCCCCTGGTGACAGGAGACCTCTGACCGAGATCCCCACACTTAATGGGCCATCCTTTCCTCACCAGAAATAATGGAGTCGTTCAGCGCCTCCTCGTCCTGATACAAAAGCAAGTCGTCCTTGAGTTCAGAATTCATGATCAGGTTCTCCTTGTTCTCCTCAGATTCCTTAGCGGCAGTTCGCTTGTTCTCCAAGGCCCCGTCAAAGCTCCAAGCCTCCTCCCTCTCCTTGCCCCGCTCCACACTGGACGTTCTCGACAGACGGACATCCACCCGCTTCTTTGGAGACCCTTTACTTTCCCTTCCTTGAAAACTAAATCAGAAAGATGGTTCAGGTTACAGGTTGCCCCCTTCACCCAGAAATCCAGCACGATTGATTTTGGAGCTTATAATTAATATCACAGAGGCAGCACCAAAATGCAGGCAGCCTCTCGGCTTTTATCCTGGACGCACCAGAAGGAGCATGAGGCTTTGAGTTCAAGGCAAATGGCTGTTTACAACATGCTGTTTTGAAAAGCTTGAACATGCAAGTAATAAAACCTGCCAAAACATAGGGCAATCAATGTTCAGGGAGAGGACATCACAAAAACTGAGAAGGACATTTTGTCAGTCGAATATTCCTCCAAACCATCCTGTCTCCCATTACCTATTTTACCTCTAACAATTCATTATTTCTTACACAGATGTAGCCTCTAGTCTTTCACAGTCCGTGAGACACATGTGATCCAAAATAAGAGTAAGCTGCAGACACAGGTTGCCTTACACCCTTGCCCAGTGAAAACGATGAAGCCCTCAGTGTCCTGGGACAAAGTGGAACAGCCATTTCTCTCTAAGTCATTCTCTGCTGCCAAGCTCCCACCCCACCCTGGGTCCTGAGGGGCTCACGCAGGGGACTTTGTGGCCAGGTTCCCACAGTGCACATTCACTGTGCACCCCCTCCCAGAATGTGGGAACCAAGGTCAGCTATGTAATTTGCAGACCGAGGTGCAAAATGAAAATGTGGGTTCCTTGTTCAGAAGTTATCAGGAATTTCAAGACGGGGACTGTAGAACGGGAGACCCAGCCAGGGCCCTGGGCACAGCACGAGCTGCACAGCCTGAGGTTGACCAGGCGGGCATTCTGGCGGCACACATCTCCCTCATGGGGCAGGGCCTCACCTGTCCTGGCGGTGCTTTGTGGCCAGCGCCCTGTGCAGCTCCTCAATGACGCGGCTTGGGGGAAGAGGCCGGTGGACCGTGGTGAGATGCGGAGACCCCGTGGGTGTGGAGAGCTGGCCCCGGAGGGGAGGGTCGGCACTCTTCATGCTGGAGGCTTGGAAAAGTGCAGCTTGGCCTGGGGTGTGGGAGGAAGCAGCAAGAACATTAGTCTTCAGGGGCTGGGACCAAGGGTCTTGCTGAGACTGGAGACCGTGAGCAGAGAGGACGCTTCCCTGCACCTCCGGGAGGCAGCCCCAACTAATGCCAAGATGCTGGACCACGATCCCTGCTCCCAAAGCTGGAGGCCAGGGTGCATCTCTGTCCAGTTCTGCTCCATCTGTAGGGCACACCCTGCTAGCGGCTGAGCCCTGCAGACACCAGCACCGGCATCCTCCCTGAAGGGAGTCTGGCTTAGAAAAGCTTCCTTCCTGCTTCTCTGCTATGAATTCAGCTTCCTGGAGCTGCTTCTTGTTCTCGGGAAGAAACTGTGCAGCCTGGACGAATGCCATGGTCTGCTCTGCCCTCCCCACAGCGTCTGTTGCAGCACCTTGGGCTTGTACTTCCAGCCCTCAGAACAGTAAGGAATACATTTCTGGGCTCCAACCCTCTCCCTGTATCTCTGCCAGGAGCATCACCCCAGAAGGTGAATTGGATCGCTCTTCCATTTTCCTTAGGACATGATTCAAACTCATGGCCCAGTCTCAAGGCCCCTGGGGGTGGCCCCACTCGGCTCCCCAGCTGCATCTCCACCTCACTCTCTTCCCTCCAGCATGTGAAGATCTCTCTCCTGTCTTTGAAGGCACCACGCTCCCTTCAATCTGAGTTTTTGCATGGGCTGTTCTTTCTGCCTGAAATGCTTCCCCGCTCCTCTGCTAGAATATCATTTCCTCAGAGAGGCCTTGATCAGATGCCCGTCACCTGCCCCTGGGACCTGAGCCTGCCCTGACACTTTTCCTCTTACTTGGAGTGAATCACGTTGCCTGGTCTGTTTCTTGCTCCCGGGCAGGCCTGTGTCCACTTTCCTTCCTACAATTTCCCCAGGCCTGGCACTAAAAACATGTGTAATAAACACTTGTTTACATGAAATGACTTTGAAGATGATTCTAAACAGACTCGCTCAATCAAGTCTAAATGAGTGGGACACCCCCTCCTTCCTTCGCCTATGGTCTCCTGCATGTGCTCCAGGCCAGCAGGGGGCGTCAGGTGCCCCGAGGAGCAGAGAGCCTGGGCTTTGTCTTCTGCAGATTTGGCCTCTGGTCTTGATCTGCCACTTCCCAATGTGCAAGACTCTGGGAAAGTCACCGAAGCTCTCCAAGGCTTAGCCTCCCTGCCTGTAAAATGAGTCCATCAGCTCCTTTTCAGGAGCCCAGCAGCCGGCACAGGCCCAGCAGCTCTTAGGTGTTCAGCACAAACTCTCATTCCAAAAGTATCCTGGCAGGACTGATACAAACACCAGCTCCCCTTAATCCCACCAGGAAAACAACCAGATCTAAACTACCCCCTTCCCTAAAAGCCAGAAACAAACTCTTTCAATATAATCCTAGGATGTGGCCAGCACCAATAAAAAGTATTCCTCAAAACCCAAAAGGAAACTGTAAACCTCGTGAAGGATTTTAGTTATTTCACTTTCTCTACAAGCACCTGCTTGGCCAGACAAGGCCAGGCCACAGGGAAATGGCCCAGGCCCTGCCCTAGACTGGTGGAGCCAGACAGAAGCCAGGCAGACAGAAAGAGAGCAAACAATTGTAGAAGAGAGAAGGAGACAGAAGGAGAGGGAGAGAAAGGGGCTGGGAGAGAGGAAGGGGGAGGGGGACAAGAGGGCACCACGCAGATGGGCTGAGAGTACTGGGCTGGTCTGGGGGAGGTGGTGGCTGGTTTGAGAGAGGGAGGTCAGGCAAGGCTTCTCTGCAGAGGGGATCTTTGAGCTGAGACCTGAGAAATGACAAGGAGCCAGCCATGCAAGAAGTGGCCAGGCAGGGCAGGGGCTGCAGGGAGACCCATCCCAGCTTCTGCACACTGCGCTGTCCTCTCCCCACTGGCCTCAGCCTCCCCAGGCTGCTCTTGCTCAGAAGAGTGTCCCGCTCCTGAGCACAGGCAGGTGACACTCAGCATCCCCCAGCCCCTCTGTCTCTAACCATCACTGCCTCTACTCCTCACCCCAGCCCCATGAGGAAGGAATCACTAGCCCTGTTGTACAAATAGGGAAACTGAGGCAGCATGGTTTGCCTGCTCTCGCTCAGCTTGGTGGAGCTGGGATCCCACCCAGGTCTCTGCCCCACTGTCAATCCCAGATGTGACAACCAGCACTGACCCCACGGCCCCCATAGAGCTTTGCCTGGCTCGCCCCACCCAGCCTGTGCAGGGGACTCCTTGTCACTCCCATTTCACAGATGAGGAAGCTGAGGTTCAGAAGCCACCTCAGGGGCAGGCCACCAGGAGAAGGCGGGAGCTGAGATAAGCACATCGCACCCAGCTCCACTTACACTTGGCAGAGGCTGTGGGACTCCCATCCCTCAGAGTGGAGTGTCACCAACTGGACCAGGTGACAGCAAGGGTAAAGGAGAGGGGTAAAGGAGAGGTCAAAGGGAGAGGGGTAAACACATCTCCAGGGACCAGGCAGGTGAAACCCGGGAATGCAAGGGACCTCCTGCAATTTCTCCATGAGGGGAGGGTAGGGACCACAGCACACAGAGAGAACCCGCCCACCTTAATGTGACTCAGAGGGTGATCCGAGATGAAGACTTTTCAAGAAAGTCCAGGAATTTGGCCTATGAACCAGGAAGCAAGCTCTCATCAGAGACACCAAATCTGCCAGCATCTTGGTCTTGGACTTCCAGGCTCCAGAAGAGTGAGGAATAAGTTTCTGTGGTTTATAAGTAACTCAGATGAACTAAGACACCTGCGGTCCTGCCTTGGGTGGAGACTCAGTTGGGCCACGGTCCCTCCTGCAGCCAGGGAAGCCCAGGTAAGGGAACTTTCTTCTTTGCTGCCATCTAGTGTTCACATGCCGAAGCACATGAACCTTTTCCCAAAGGAAAAGGGAAAAGAGGAACTGAGAAAATTAAATCAAAGTCACCAAAATGTAGTCTCTGCAGTAAGAAGCCAGACCAGGGCCCATAGCTTGGAACCACCTTCCTCCGCCTCCCAGTCTCAATTTAGTCCCCTTGGAAATGCGTAAGTGTCAGAGTATCCCCCGATGTCCTTGCAGCTGAGGGCAATGTGGAAGCCAGAAGTGTCTGCAGACTTGGGACAGAATGCCAGAATTTAGGGCGTGTGGAGTCAGAGTGAAGACCTGTGCCTTCTGAGGCTCGACCTTCCCAAGCTCGGGAGAGGCAGGAAACTCTCTGGGTTACCAAGTTATTGAGGGCCAGGAACAAATTATACATTAGCCAGAATAAAATGAGGTGAATGGTGATTAATTGAATGGACTTTCAATGGTTTTAGGTTTCAATGGAGGAAAAAGGGAGCTATTGCAAGGACAATAACAGAATGCAACATAGCACAGTTTTGCCTCCAACTTTGTACTGTAATTTATATGGCCATATCACACAAAGACCGAATATTTGGGTTCATCTACAGAGAGGTAGAAAGATGCAGAAAGCAGACAGACAGGGTTCAGAACATGCATCCATTCATTCACCATTCATTCATCCATGCAACTGTCATCTGCACTTGCTGAGTGCCTGCTGTATGCCCTGTACTATGCCTGCACTTGGATTTGATGGTGAACACAAAGGTGTGGCCAGTTCTCAGGGGCTACTGTCTGGGGAGCAGGTGGTTAGAGAGAGGCAAACCATACAACATGTATGGCTCCTTGGGCAGCCTAAAGCAACAGAACAACTCTCACGGTTTTGGAGACCAGAAGCCTGAAATTGAGAGGCTGGCAGGGTTGGTTCCTTCTGAGGCTGTGAGGGAAATGCCGTCCCAGGCCTCTCTCCCTGGAAAATGCTTGGCGTTCTGTGGATGCATCACTCCCATCCTCACGTGGACGCTGTCGTTAGATTCGGGACCTGCCCTAATCCAGCATGAGCTCAGCTTGATCTTTAACTTACTGACAGTTGAGAGACGCTTATTCCAAACAAGGTCATGTTCTGAGGTTCCAGGTGGATGGGGATTTTGGGAGGACACCATTCAACCCACTAAACAAGGTGGGGCAATGCAGTAAATGCTGGAAGATGGGGCACATGGTGCTATGAGGTCAGGGGTCAGGGCTGGCTCCCCTGAAGGAGAGACAGCTTGAGCTGTGGTCCCAAGCATGCAAAGGTATTGACCGGGCAAAGCAGGAAGGGAGAATGTTCCGGCAGGGAGAACAGCCGGGGCCAAGTCTCAGGGTGGTGGGGTGGAGGGGACGCCCCCTCACTCATCCCTCCACCCACCCAGCAGCACATCTTCCCACATACCAACCCTACTCGGGCAACCACAGGGCACACAGCCCCACATCTATCCCATCCAGAACATCTGCAGTACCAGCTAAAGAGGCCCCCTGTGGGATGCATCGCACCTCCTCTGGTTCTGTGGTGTCTGGTTGAGAATCATCAGTTAGATTGAAGTACTTAATTCATGTTAGGCATACAAGGAAAATGCCCCACTGAAAGCATTTTCCACCCAAGAGTCGCCTCCAGGTTGAGCGTTCACCCCATAAGCGGCAGTAAGGTCCTCAGAAAAGAGCCAGGGGCTGGGACCCAGCCCTCCCAAGCTCATGCCCGGGCTCTCTCTGTCCCAGCAGCTGACACCTCTTCCAAAAGGTGACAGTTCTCTCTTCCATGAAAGCTGGGAAGAAGCACAATGAGGATTAGGTGAGATCACAGAGGGGAGGGCACCAGCCCCTGGCCACACATGTAGTAGCAACAAGCTTTGGGCCCAAAACTGGGTTCAAAAGTTTCAATCATTTCCAGGACCTGGGACAAGTTACTGGAGTTTCCTGAGCCTGTTTTGTCAACTACAAATGGGGCACCTGGTGCCTACCCAACAAATGGCACTTATTGATGGTGGTTAATCAGAGGTTAGGTGATTGTAACAAAATTGTCAAACTCTGCTTTGTGTCATGTTTGACACTTACAGCCTTCAAAGACAGCATGCAAGCTTTTACTCTGAAAAGTCATTATCTCTTGATAAACAGCCTACTTTTTCCCTGAGACCATCAATGTGTCCTGTTTGCAGCAGTAAATTCCAGACAAAAAATACCTAAATTTGCAAAGTAATTATATCTCTACTTGCTAGGATTATTCTGCCAGTGTGACAAAAGCTACATAAGTGTCTGACTGTGGGGGCCTCTGTCCAGCTGTGCACCTCCATCTGACCACCAATGTCTGCTGTTTACTCCTGGCTCTGCCTTGCTGGACAGAACTTATCGGAAAGTGAAACAGCAAAACAGAGACCAGCAGAGACAGGGAGGGAGGAAGGGAGAGAGACTGACTGAAAGAGACTGAGATTCAGAGAGAAGCACAAAGAGAAAGACAGACACATGAACATCCAGAAAGAACAGAACAGGACAGAAAGGAAAGGAAAAGAAAAAAGAAAAAGAAAAGCCAAGCCAAGCTAAAGCCAAGTCCCGTCCTGGGAACGGGCTGCATCTCTTGCATTCAAGTCCCAGAAGATGCCCCCTTTGACTCCTGCAAAGACACTCCCGTGTTTGCTTGAGGGAGACTAAGCAGTCTGCTCCTGACAACCACAGTTTCCTTGGTAAGATCTACTCCTCTGGGCCTGCCCTGAACCCCAGGCACAGTAGCTAATGATGAGAACCTTCCCATAGTGGGTGCCCAATCAAGACTGGCTGAAGGTATGGATGGATGGATGGGTGGATGGATGGACAGATGGATGGATGAGTGAATGGGTGAATAGATGATGGATGGGTGGATGAATGTATGATGGGTGGATGGATGGATGGATGGATGGATGGGTGGATGGGTGGATGAATGTATGATGGATGGATGGATGGATGGGTGGATGAATGTATGATGGATGAATGTATGATGGATGGATGGATGGATGGATGGGTGGATGAATGTATGATGGATGAATGTATGATGGATGGATGAATGATGGATGGATGGATGGATGGGTGGGTGGATGGATGGATGGGTGGGTGGATGGGTGGATGAATGTATAATGGATGAATGTATGATGGATGGATGGATGGATGGGTGGATGAATGTATGATGGATGAATGTATGATGGATGGATGGATGGGTGGATGGGGCAGAGAAAGGAAAGAGGATGGACAGGATGCATGTGGACCCACCTGTGACATTTTTTGTGGTTTTGGAGCTTGCCTTGGGTGGCGGAGTGGGCAGCAGTGGGGGGCTGGGGAGCTGGCCCACAGATCTCTCCAGAGGTCTGGGAGGACTGTCCAGGGAGTCAGACCCAGCTAAGGCTTGGGAGAGCTCATCGGTGGTGGGCAGGAGGCTGCCAGCGTCTGCTTCTTCACCACTGGATGCAGATGGCATCTTGGCTGGTTCAAAGGCAAAGCAGAGAGTTCAAAAACATGTTTCCTCTGACAGCAATGGAAGTAAGAGAGCAAAGCAAGAGGGTTTGGTGGGATGGGATCGTGAAGAGCATACAGAGCAGTCACCTCACACAGGCACTTAACTTCCTGCAAGTTCAACTCTCAATAGAACCATCAGAAGCAGAGAGGGGAGGATGCAGAGAGGGAAGTCATTTCAATAGCATGAGGGATTCCATTCTTTGTTCCACGAGAGGTGCATGCCATAGCTCTCACCTCACCTAGGAGCAGTGTTCACCATGCCAGATTTTGGAGTCAGACACACCCAGGCTCAAGTGGTCTCTGAACTTACTATTGGACCTTAAGTTACTAAATCTCTCCAAAACTCAATTTACTCAGGCATGGCATTGTGTTACCAACAGCCCCTCACAGGATTGTTTCTCAGTTTAAGCAAGAAGTGGCCATGACACAGTGTAACCCTCCAGTCCAGCAGCTCTCATTCTTATTTGTCTGTTTGCAGCAGCCCTAACGTCTGGTATGCCAGCCTAGGGTGGGAGTGACGACAGGAAAGATCGACTTGGAGGAAGGGTTCGGCCATCCCAGAACCCTCATCCCTCCCTTCCTAGCTGCTCATTCAGGCTACATCCACCTCCTTCACCACCACCCTCAGCCTGCCCATCCCCAGCTTTCCCTCAACCCATCAACCCTTCCCTTTCTTATTTCTCTTTTTACCTGGCTTGGGTTCCATCATCCACTATTTCAACAACAATCTGACCAACAGTCCCTAAGTTCTTTGCCTTGATTCCTTTCCATTCAACTCTCTGGAAAAGTTTCATCTGGGGATGAAGCTGCCACTTGTCTGCTCCTGTCCTCGCCTAGTATTGCAGGAGGAAGAGCTCATGGAGTCCACTTCAGGAAGAACTGTTGCTCTGCATGACCCGTGGCCAGGAGCTTCCTCCTGCAGGTGCTCTGCATGACTGCTCAAGCCCTTTCTGTCCCTTCCCCACCTCCAGCTTCCCACCTTTGCCTGCTCCTACCACACAGCTTCACCTGCAGCTTTACAGGTAAAACTGAGGTCATCGGACCAGAGCTCCTCTTGGATTTCTGACTCAAATGCAAACTGCTGTCCCCAACATCTCTGTTCTTCCTTAACCAGCACTCCCTCACTTCCTGCCCTCTCAGCACACTCTTGAGTGCTAAGGCCCATGGAAGGTACCTGGCACACGTCATCTTATTCAGTTTTTACAACTACCCAATGAAGAAGACACAAACACTCTCCCCATTGTATGTCTGAGGGAAAAGCCTGGTGGAGCTGGAGCTTGTCCTTGGGTCACTGTGTTACCTCCTGTGGGGTTCATTCATCTATCAGCTGCTGTTTCTGGCAGTACCCAGGAGCTGTTTGTGCTGTCCATGGTGCTGAAAACACAGTGGTCGGGGGAGGCAATGTTAAAACAGGCCTAATTCCTGCCCGCAGAGAGCCTCCAGCTAAACACCAGATGGAAATATTGCATGCCCCTTGTATCCCATTAGCTATCATTAGTTTCTGTTCCTTTATTGCCCATGTTGGACGTTTTAAACTCTCATTCCCAGCCCTTTCTTAACATTGTCATGTTAAGTTCATGACAATGGAGTCATTATCTCAGAAGGGCCAGCCCTCCTAATGCCTGGAGAACAAAATCTCTGAAACCAGAGATGGAGTATGTGTTGTTCTCACCCAACAACACATACTCCAGCTGCAGAGGGCAGACTCAGCTCTGTGTTATGAAGTTGGCCTGAACTGAGAAGAACCATAATTACAGTTGGCTCTATACTCTTTTGTTCTGCATGGATACCCACAGGAAAGTGCTGTTTTCATTTTATTTTTCTTATTGCTATCAAACTGTCCTTAAAAGTGTTACTTGCTCAAAGGGTTTAAGACTCCTATGCTCTGAGACTGTCATTATGTCATCTGACTTGTAACCTATAATGTCTGAGAGTCTACAACTCTGATTAGTTGTTTCACTTAGTAAGTTTTGCCCTGATAATAACTTCAAAGTAAATATTTTGTGCTTTCTAGGTAAAAATAGTTATGAGGTTTCCTTGTTAAGTCACAGGTAAGCATAGAAATGCCCATTTTCTCTATGTAGGCTCCAGTTATAACTTGGTGGAGTTTTCTGTCTTGTGTAAATCAGCACAGGCAAGTGGACACCCTCATTCTTGGGACACCACACTTCAGAGTCCATTTCCTCGGCAGCCAAGCTCATGGCCAAGACCACCAGGCATGGGGTGAGCTTTCAGTAGCCAGCCCAGGCCTAGTTTTCTCCCAGGAAGTTTCCTCCTGGGGGGTCCAACCTCTTTTCAGATATTCACACATCTATTATTCTGAAGCCCTTTAATGTGGTCCTTGCATCCACACCCTGCTTTGATTGTTTGGGTTTACAGGACTTCTTGATCCGGATTGCTTCTTTGTGAATGGGTCATGCTCTCAGGGGACCGGTCACCCAGCACATTTCCAAAGTCCTGCTTTTGGGAGACAGAGATGTCATGGAAACGGCTCACCTCGCCTCAATTACACCAGAATCCAGCATCCCCCTCCTTCCTCCATGTGTTTGACCTATTTACAGATGAGTGACCTTGGTCTCCACCTTGCTTAGTGAGTCTCAGTCTCCTCATCTGTGCAAATATCTGTATAAAATACCCGACCCTGCCCACTACAAGGATGGAAAGGCCAACATGAGACCATGGCAGGGAAGGTTTGTCTAGAGCTACTCAGCACTCCTCTGACTCATCTCCTCCAGGACAATGTCGCCAGCATCTGAACTGGGCTCCAAGGGTCTGCTAAGAGGTACCACCAAAGGAAGCATTACCAGGGAGGCAGAGCAGCCTGGGGTCAGTGTCCCCACTCCTGGGTCAGCCCCAGCCAATCACCTGGATCTATCTTCTATGTCTGATCTCCACGTAAGACTTCACTAGATAAGCACTGACTTGGGTCAGTTCCACATCCCTCTGAGCTATTGACAGGTTGTCCCCCTTGGCCTGCATCACTGACTTATCCTTCTTTTTAGGATCCCAACAAGATCTAAAATATTCTACCCAAAACCAAACCAAACAATCTTGACCTCGTCTACACTCCCAGCTTAGTTACAATTACCTGTTCCTTTGCAAAATAAACTTATGAAAGATGACCTTTAACACTGCATCTCCACCCAGCAAGCCCTGGCCCCCTCACTGAGCCAGGGCCACCCCACTCAGCCATCCACCATCTTTAACACTTTCCCCTCTGGCTTCCTGACACACACTCTCCTGGTTCTCCCCTGGAGCCCTGGCCACCTCTGCACAGCCTCTCTGGCAGGTCCCACCTCCTGCATATGAATGTCCACCTGGGCTGCCCCAGGATGCAGGCCTAGGTCCTCTTCCCTGTCTACCCCTCTCACAGGTCATTCTCATCCACTCCTCTGGCTTCAGAACTGATTCCATTTCTCTGTCAACTGTGGACCGTTTCTCTGAGCTCCAGACTTCCATGTTACCGGTTGGCCACATGGGCATCTCCATCTGGAGGCCAATCACATCCAAACTTGAATCTTGGTCCCCACAACAAATTCTCCTGAGCCTTCCCTTCCCTCTCACTCATTCGACCATCAACCCATCTTGCAAATGTTATTGAACAACCATGGGCTCCAGGCACTATTCTAGAAGCTGTGGACATGGCACTAATCCAGCCAGATCCCTACTGCATTAGTCTCTTCTTACACTGCTAAAAATAACTGCTTGAGACTGGGTAACATACAAAGAAAAGTGGTTTAATTGACTCACAGTTCAGCATGCCTGGGGAGGCCTCAGGAAACTTACAATCACAGCAGAAGGCAAAGGGGAAGCAAGCACCTTCTTCACAATACGACAGGAAGGAGATGTACCAAGTGAAGGGGGAAGAGTCCCTTATAAAACCATCAGATCTTGTGAGAACTCACTCAGTATCATGAGAACAGCATGGGGAAAACTGCCCCCTGTGATTCAATTGCTTGCACCTGGCCTCTCCATTGACACGTGGAGATTATGGGGATTATAGAAATTATAATTCAAGATGAGATTTTGGGTGGGGATATAGCCACACCATATCATCCACTTTCACCAGGTTCAGTGCTCCATGCCCCACCGGCTGTCCAGCCAGACCAGATGCCCCACACCACCCTTTTCTTGCCCTCTCCACCCCCGTACCCACCCCTTATATCTAATTCACAGACAAGTCTCATGAACTCTACTTCCAAATAATTTCTCAGAAATATCCACTTGTCTCCCAGTGTGAGCTATCAGAACTTCTGCCTGGGCCTCCTCTCCAGCCTCTCAAGCTCCTGACAATGCTTCCCACCCCAGTGGAAACCCATTCTCCAAATCAGAGTTTGTCAGGCCTTTCCTGCAGAGGGTCAGGTAGAAAATATTTCCAGCTTGGGCCATGTGGTCTTTGTTGCTATTACAGTCTCTGTTAGTACGGAGAACTCTGGAAGGCTGGCCAATCCAAACTACATCTCTCCTTGTTCCACACCAAAATGGATGTGAAGCCACCCTGACCCTCAGTACTACCCAGTAGCACTTTCTGAGATGATGGACACACTTATTCCTTGTCCGTATGGTGGCCACTAGACCCTCATGACCACTGAACACTGGACAAGTGGCTGGAGTGACAAACAAGCTTAAATTTTAATTATTTCAAACAGCCACGTGGCTAGTGACTACTGCACCAGACAGGGGAGCTCTGGATTTCCCAGGACTGAGCCAATGGTCACAGTGCCACTACCTTAAGCCACAGAGTAAAGGGTAAGCCTCTGAGGTCCCCTCATTCCACCTGCCCAAGGTGGGACTCTGGGTTCCCCACCCTTCACCCTGATGGCCATGAGACTCACCACACCAGCTAGGCTCACCAAAACCCTCCTCCTGAGTCTCCCCCAAAACATCCATCCTCACCACACACTGAACCTTCACATCCTTGGCCTGCCTGGTGGCTTTAAGGACAGGAGATGGTTTTCAGCATCTCC